GCAGAGGAGGGGCAGGCACTGATCTGTTCTCTGTGGGGAGCAGGGACAGGACCAGGGGGAATGGCCTGAAGTTGTGTCAGGGGAGGTTTAGGTTGGGTTCTTCCCCCAGAGGGTGGTTGGCACTGAACAGGCTCCCCCAGGCAGTGGGCACAGCCCCAAGGCTGCCAGAGCTCCAGGAGGGTTTGGATGATGCTCTCAGGCACAGGGTGTGACCCTTGGGGATGGGCCTGTGCAGGGCCAGGAGCTGGACTCAGTGATCCTTGTAGACCCCTTCCAACTCAGCATATTCTGTGATTCTGTGAATATTTCTGTGTAGAGAGCAAAAGATCTATGGAAACTGATCTACCTTCAAGATAAATAGTTCAGAAACCTGCTACCCAGTTTTGAAAAGTCACTTAGACATCGTGGAGGTGAATATCACACCACTTCAGTTCCTAGTCAAGCAAATCACTTCTAAAAACTAAGTCTAACTTTCAAATCACTTGGTTATGACTTTTAACAACAGCCTTCAGTCCTCCATCAACTGCAAAAGCTACGTTCCTGCATATAGGGCATTACTCTGATTTGGATAACGTTTTCTTTTTATGCAGATAACATGACAGAAGTGCAGCACAGTGGACAGGGCACTGGAGTGTGGATGAAAACTTGCATCTCTTCTTCATGTTGCTTTTCACCTGCCCACAGCCTTGGAGAAAGTACTTCACTATTGTGTCTCTGCTTCTGTCTACCCTTTGACTCTCCAGGTCACCAGTTATTCCCTACCAAGCTGTTATACACAGAGATCAACTTCAGTTCAGTTTGTAACTATTTCTGTAATAAAAAACATCAAGCAGCAACTATTGAGGAGAGCAAAATCTACATCAGGGAACAGATAACCTAAGAATTTGACTCCTGGCCTTTATCTAGATACTAAAAAACGGTCACATTAAAAGGAGAGGAATGAACCTGAAAAATATTTACCAGTAGCCTTTCTCCTCTTTTGTACAATTTGTTAAAATCACTTTAAAATGTCAAGGGCTCAGACAGTGAAGTGCAAAATAATTACATGAATGCAGTCAGCCACTGTTATCTTCTTACTCTAATATTAATGGATGGAAATGGAAAACCGCCACTGAATTTTAATTAATTCATTAGTTAATTATTGGAAAGCCCCATGAAAGTGCTAAGAATTATTATTACTTTTATTCCCAATAAATATTTTCTAATGGCAGAGATGGACCTCCCACAATGACTTTTCTCTAGGTTCAAAATACAAAATTGGTGCGAAATGGCATTTATTAATTCTCTGTGTAATTCAAGCATGGACTTAGCACCATGAGATACTGACACATTACCATAAAAGCAGCAGCTTTTCCCTTTGCTAACAGGTCCATTTAAGTGAATAGGGTTAGCTCTACTACTTGCCTAAAAGGAGCAAGGAGGGGAAGTGAGCCAAAATGTGGACAGCATTTGCTGCATACTGAGCCACACTAAGCCCTAACATAAATTAACAGAACTCTCCCAGAAGAATCACTGAAGCAAAAGTGTCCTTCTGCCAGGCTGCATTTGACCCACCGTCCCTAGTTCTGTTGAATTTAATAAGATAAACATGTCTTTTCACTTCCTGGCTGCAGATAAAGCTGACAAAATATTCTGGAATCAGTCACCAATTTTAAGACTTAATCATTCAGCCAGCCAGACAAGTGGAAAAGGGAAGCTTTTCTCATTAAGTAATGTCTAAGGGAAAGTTAAAATCTGTATTCCAATACAACATCCTGATATTTGCTGCTGCAGGTCCAAAGCATGCAACGATGCATTGTGCATTTTAAAAGCTGTCTCGGGGAAAGAGATGTGCATGTTGATAGAAAACAGATCCTTTTTTTGATAGATGTTTACACAGGAACCTTTGGCAGAGAACTGACATTCAGAAGTGTTTGCCACAGGATCTCTTTGTTTCTTTTCCGTTCTTACCATGCCCTGCTCCAAGCTGCAGTACCAGCACCCACTATTTTAATTTAGGCATGATTTAGATGTTGCTTGCAGTGGCTTTTCTAAAGATCAATTCATCAGCTGAACTGGTTTATTTACATAAACTGTCCTTCTTGCCTAATTTCCCACATTATGCAATAGGACAATATGCTGAGTTTGGGGTCTGGTGTTGAGGGACTGTGTAGGGGCTACACAACAGGAACACCTGATGCTATTCATGACACTGGCAGTTTTCAAACTGAGAGACAGGTTAATGGAGAAGGAACATGCCTGTAACACCTACTGCCTCAGTGGCTTCCACTGGAGAAGGAAATTTCCCCCCTTCTTTGCCAGGATATTTAACTGATCCACATCAAGGGACTGCAAGCCCGTGCATGTTGGGCAAAATCCTGCTACAGCCAAAGACTGAATTTTCCTTGAGCTCAGCCTCTCTATCCTTTCAAGTACAGTGCCTAAAAAAAATTGGTCAAACTTTTTAAAGTGTCAAAAATACAAAACTGACAACCAAGGCTGAAACTGAGGACCACTTACGGGAAAAGATGCACTTTTTCCATCTCCTTTCCCATTTTTTACTTGCAACTCGTGCAAGAGAAACCTGCAGCACCACCACGCTGCTCCCTCATGAGACTGGCACATCCCAAAGGTGTCAGCAGCAGCACAAGCCTGTAGAGATCCCAGCCACAAATGCCACTACCCCAGAGAACATAAGACACAGGGAGGCCACAGTGAACAGAGAAGAGGGCGGGGAGATGTGAAACCAGTAGCAGAGAATAAAACCAGAGGGAAGTTCAAGTGGAGTAGAACAGTAGAATTTCTTCCTTCAAGATTAAACAAAAGAGAAGAGAAAAAGCACAGGGAGAGAAGGCCTGGCTTATGAATTAAGAAAAAACAAACTCCCTTCCAAAATAATAGCTGTCTCATTCCAAGGCTGTGAACTCAAAGTATAAAAGCCAGCCTCAAAAGGCTTTATTCCTCACGGCGTCTTTTTCTACTCCTTCAAAAAACCAACCAGCAAACAACAGCAAAACACACACAAGAACTAACAAACAAATACACAAAAAAACCCAACAAACACAAAAAAGCAAACACCACAAAACCAAAAACCCAAGGGATCAGGAAGCTAAACTGTACATTTGCAGGGCAAACCAGTACTAGCACAAGACTTCAAAAATAAAAAAAAAAAAAATAACCCTACAAAGGAACTCCAGTGCTTTCCACATCTTCCTTTGTTCACTGTGGCCATATTCAAGGAGGACTCCCCATTTCAGAGAAACTGTATTCATAACCTTCAAAATACTCCCCTTAGCAGGTTACTTTTGAAACTTGAGAAACCACACAAGGTGCTCAAGTGCAATCTCCTGCTGTTTCTGGAGCAGGTAGATCTGATCAGATCTTTGGGAGGGGTGGGGGAAAGAAAAGAAAAAAAAAGTTAAAAAAATACTTTCTTACTGCTGACATCCTTCAAAGTGAACAACTCAAGACTTTTACTGGGGGACAGAAATGAACACCAGCCTCCAACGATGGCAATTTCCATTTCGATTTGTACAATAACACATCACATTTAACTACAGGAATGAGGATCTCTCACTGACATCTTATGATGGCTTTGTACCTGTAAAAGCACTATTTCTGTGTGTTTCAATAAGTTTAGTTTGCAAATTAAGAGAGGTAGAGTGATAATGTAATACGGATTCATTAAGATCTTGGGTCTAAATTTAAATATTAAGTTAATGTAAAAATATGAAACAGATGCAGACCAGGACACTTGCAGTGGCTATTCAAGTGAGCAGAAACTGCAGGTAGTCACTAAATATAAAAATTATTACAACACACAAACATGAGTAAACACAAATCAAATAATCTACGAAGAATAAAACATTAACCTTGGTGTGGTACTCATATGATCACTGGTATTAGTGCCAGGAATGACAAATGGGAGGGAAACAGCAACCAATTAATAAGGTGCGTGCTCTTCCCCTAATTTATTTCGTTCCAGATGAATTCAGGTCTTCATTTTAGAAAAATAAAACAAGGAAATTACCTATTTGTTTTAAGACCAAGACTTTAAAGCAATAACATGTAAATCTCATGTGAATAGTTAGAAAGGAAATAAATTTTTGTAATAAGTAATCAAATTTAATTTGATTTTGTTGCAATTATTATTCAAGATTTATACTAGTTTCTGGAAGCCTCAAATACTATAAACTCAAGAAAAAATTGTGTACTATCAATAACAACTACAACACAATACTACAATTAACAACAACTATAATAAAATACTACAGTATATATACACCATAAATAACACAAGTAGAACCAGGTTTATGCCTATTTCTCATCATGACAAAAGGCATCAGAAAGAAAAGTAACAAAACCACTGTCACAGGCAAGAACCTAAATCTAATGTCTGGGGGAAGAAAGAAGGAATCAGGTGTGAAACACAGGCTACATGTTTTCTGAAATCCTTTCTACAGGATGTTTGTTCCTAAGGAGCACTGCATGCAAAGAAGATCATTTGTTTCTCAGGAATACACTTGATCTTGCCAATTATTCCTCAGTTGTTGTTTATCCTAAACACCTTTCTGGGAATCGATCGTCTACAGAAATCAAACCAGCTGACTGTCCCAAAGCACAAAAGGAGCAGTCCCTTCTCTTCCACTCTTAATTTGCTTATTATATCCACCTTATGAAAAAAAAAAAGAAAAAAAAATCAAAACACTGATTCCTTTTCACAGCATCTTTCTTGGTCCTTCTGTGCAATTCAGGTAATTGCAGGGCATATTCTACACGTGTTATGCCTTCAGCTGAAGCAGGCACCTTGTTTTATTCCCACCTTCCGAAAAAAAGTCCTGGGATTTTTGTAGTTTGTTTGTAAGCAAACATTTCCCCCAGTACAACTATGAGGAAGCTAAACCAACACACCAGACTGAAGCTCTGGCACTATGCACTGCTGCAGTCCAGGACAAGAATAAACGAAAATACTCCACGTACGAGCCTCTGCACCGGCCAGGTGGAGCCAGCCTGGAGCTTACCTGTCCTGTAGCCTGTGTTGTTGAGGTACACTGCAAACGTCCTTATTTCGTGCTGAGCCTGCCAGGAGGGAGAGGAGCAGTTCTCGTTGTTGGTGTAAGTGTTGTGGTTGTGGACGTACTTGCCCGTCAGGACGGAGGAGCGCGACGGGCAGCACATGGGCGTCGTCACGAAGGCGTTGATGAAATGGGCCCCTCCCTGCTCCATGATCCGTCTGGTTTTATTCATCACCTGCATAGAACCTGGAAGGAGAAAAACCTTTTGGGAATTGTTTTCTTGTTTTGGTCAGAAACAGCCACATAAGAGCTCCCGTCACATCACAGACCAGAATGAAGCGCGAGCACAGTCAGGGCACTGTGATCTCGGAGTGAATCCAGATCCAAAGAGATCATTCTCCTGCCTCAGTGAAGTTCTCCCATTGTTCCAGTAAGGACTAAATACTGAAGTCCTAAGTTAAGATATGACTCAAGCCTGCTGGCATGGACCATGATGCTTCTTTCATTTCTCTCTCTCTCTAAGTTCAAGATTTACTGCTGTAACTTTCTGCTCCTTCTCTGCAGCCCTTCTGGAGCCACCAGGACTGTTCCAGTAGCTGAGGGTGGAATGCACTTTGTGCAGCAACCCTGACCACAGCTCGCATGCTCCTGAAGTGTTATTTAATCTTTGGTTTTAAAATCAACCTGATGCACTGGCCTTTTGTGACAACGTTCTGCAAAAGCCTGAGGGCTGTAACCACAGGATCACTGAGGCTGGAAGACTATTTAGTCCAACCTACTGCTCAAGCAGGGTGTGTTAGAGTTGTTCTCTAAATAAATTGTTCTCTCCCTGTTGTGAGGTATTAGGAGATATTGATTTCTGTACTTGTCACTGAACCAAAGACAACATAAAGCCCTCAGAATAATTTCCATAACCAGTCCACTGTGTTCTATCCATCTGCTTCACCCCTTCTGATAACCGTATTACCTAAAATTATCTACATTTTCTTAGGCTTTGTCCTGCAGAATCATATCGTCAGATGACTGCTGGGGACAGATAGCCATGTATTTCACAACCATCATCTAAAAACAAACAAGCAAGTTCAACTGGCAGGGACTTGGATAAATGGGGATAACAGGAGTAAAAGTCTTTTTGCCAGCAATTACTGAAAGACACGCTGCTGCCAAATGGTTGTTCTGTTTATTTAAGACAAGGCTTTGGTCGAAGCCTTGCATCTTTACACCATCTAGCTAAATCTGGATCCATACCAGAGTTCTTCCTAAACCCAGAGAAACCAAGGATCGGAGAAAAATGAAATTTAATTTCTCATGTCTATCAGTGCCTGACAGTTAAAACTGCATCAGAGCGAGCCATGAAAAATTTTCCTCATCTAAGAAGAATTACCATTTGCCAAAGAATTTGTTGTGGTACTTGCCATAAGCACAACCTTGCAAAGGAGAGGAAACCTGTCCATCACCAACCCTGTTCTGAGCAGGGAAAGCCAACATGGAGATGAAGGTGTGGTTTCATGCCAGAGTAGGGCTGGGGGGAACTTACCCAAGGTTGACTTGGATTAACAGTTCAGCTTTAATCAATGCATCCTGCAACCATCTGGCACAAACTATGTTGTTTCTGTCAATACTGGGTTTAGGTTTCTCCTAAGCTCTTTAGGCAGGGATTTCATTATGAAATGGCAACAGTAAGTCGATTGATACAGGGCACATTGATAAAACCAGGAGTCAAAACCTAGAGGGAAAATGGTCATAAGCCACATAGGAAATCTGACTCTCTGGCACCATGAAGGAAGGCTAATTGCTACTGTAGGTCATTTTACCTAAGAACTGCCATGGTATTAGTTTACTTGAGACCATTCTGTTGGAACCAGTTTAAAAAAAAAGAAAATAAAAAAAAAAAATCATCTGTTTGTGCATTTCTCAGGTCAGAGCACATCCCTGTCACATCACTTTGTGACAAGAACCAAGGCAGGTTATTGCACTGCCCCCTTAGAACTTGCTAAACTTCACATACCAAAAAGGAGTTCCTGAAGGAAGCCAGATTTATTTATTTTTTTGTTTCCCAAGCTGTGGGATAAGTGTTAGTGCTTAAAAGTACTAACAACACAGCTAACAATTGTAACAGCCAATTATACACTCTGTGTGCCTGAAAACTGTGGATGTTTCCTCTGTGTTGTCTTATGAGATACAGCCCAAGCATAAACAGGCAGTCCAAGAGAATGTTTTGTCTTGCCAATACTGAAATACAATTTAACAACCCCTTTAAAAGACAGAGGCATCTGTGCATAAATAACAGTACATGTTAAGACTCCCCTTGGGGACAGTAACCTCCTTTAATAAAACTGCTGTAATGACAAAGCCCTATATATCAACAGTCTTTAGCACAAAAACATATGATCTAATCTGCTTCCCCAGCCTGAGAACTAATACAGAGTGACAGACCAGTGGAAGGTAAAAATCCAGCATATTCTTCTGTATAATCTTAAATAGGCCAGCTTTAAATATTTTAAACAGCATTAAACCAGCCAACCAAAACTTATTTTCTTCTGCTTGCCTCCGACACAAACATAAAATTGTGAGGAAAAAGTAGAAACTGCTCTTCCTGTGGCAGATTAGTTATGTGTTAATCAGCAACAGGAACCTCACCACACCACCTTTTGAGCTGGAAAACCTCAGGTTTCATTAGTAGATGTACCATGGGAAGCAGCAGTTTGAAGTGTCAATATTTAATTCAGAAAATGTTCTGTTACCCATCTAAACCCACTGATAGTAAACAAAAATTTAGCAGTTAAAAGTGAAATGTCTAAGATATTTTAAAAAAAAACCATTAGACTACTGTGAAAATATGAAAGTTTAATCAATTTTATGCATTAAAGTTGCTCATTGAACAAAGCTAAGCAGAAAGTATGTTAAACTTCCACTTGAAATTTGTGTGCTCTCCATAACTTTGCTTAGTGTATCTTCACAGTTCACTTCAGGGATAAAGCTAATATATTGACTAATATTAACCAATTATATATAATTGAGAAAATATACCAATTATTTATGAAATAATACTGAAGTCCTTATTAGTTCTGTTTTGCTGTCAGAGGAAATAATTTACATGTTTTAGAAAGCTCCAACTGTCGAATAACTTGTATTAAGTACCAAGTGACTTGTCTACTCTGAAGCACAACTTATGAAGTGGTATCCACACACAGATAAGCTAACTGAACCCCAGAATGTTAATTAATTCTCTTTTTATCCTATTTGAACCTTATTAGACACAGCTGTCACATCACTTCCTTTTTTCCTCACATTTAACAAAGCTCTAAAGTCCCAATTTGCCACGTATGATAACCAAGAAAAATTATCTTCCAAGCCACTTTTATAGGTTACAGAGGAAGACCTAGGAACATACAAATCACCCCTCACTCACATTTCTCTACAGTGGCTGAAACACCTTCTAAATAACCAGATCTTTCTTCGACTTTGAGATCATGAAATAAGATGTTTTTTCAAACCCTCAGCAATATGGTAGATAAACCTAATTAAACTGGAGTTGCTGAGGCCATCACACAGGGGACATCAGCATCATACTAACTTGGATTGGAAGGGCTCTAATAGCAAAAAAGGAAGTCTTTATTTCTAATTAATTCTTCCTCCTTGTCACTATATTCCTCTTCTGTATATTATGCTTGTCAATACAACTCTTTTGATTGGACAGTCTACCAGGTGTAGATGTTTCAGTGGTTCTTGGTGTTCTCATTTGTCTTCTCCCAATTGTATCCATTACAATTTACACTCATTCTCCTTTAATCTACAGATTCTGCATCCTATTCATCAGCCCCTCATCAGCCTTTTCCTTTTTCCAATACAACGCTGAGGTTTGGCTTCCCAAGTAAAACTCATGGTTAACAGTAATGGGAATGTAAAGAGAGTTTTACTCCTTTCCTGAAAGGACAACATTCTCTTTCTGGTAAACTCCACCTGCTGCTGGTACATTGTTAAATCTAATACATTGTAAATAAACAAAGGAAAGCCTGTCAAAGGCACTTGAGATCGTGTTGTATTCCCTTTCACCTCAAAAGGAGCTACAAAAGAACAATGGAAGCTACAACACCCATCAGTTACAGAATATCCTTATAAACAGATGAAATCTTAGTTATTCACAGCTTTCCCTGCTACGCTTTCATAGCTTCCAACTTTTCCTTAGCTTTTATTTGTAATTCATATCTTGTTTTCATCTTTCATAAATGCACTAACCGCGATCGCCACAAATGGCAATTTTGATTAACTTGGACAGCTCAACAGACAAGAATAAAAATTAATTCCAACAAATATTGGGTCTCCCAAAGCCATTAGTGTCAAACGAGGAATATCACATCTTAGCTTCATCAAATGGATTTTCCTTGGTGAGATCCTAATTTGTGTGGACACATGCCCATTATCCTTGAAACTGGAAAGCATCCGGTTATCAGGGAAGAGAAATATCCTGCCCAATGGACTCAGCCAATTGCATCACAAACACACAGGCCAGCAGAAAACAGAAGATGATAAATTTTTTAGGACCACCTTCTGAGCCTGCAAGATAATGTACTTAGGTTCTTTGGTACGTTACTGGAATTGCTTCATTTGTGATCCAAATAACCATTAAAAAAAGTGACAACAACAAAAAACCTCTTCTGATCCTACTAATTGGAATTGCATTTATATTCAGTGAGGCTTTCTCACCACCTTGGAGAAGAATGTGACACCTACGATACTGCAGACATGCAGTAATACTGGAATGCAAAGGAAGCATCTGCAAAAACACTGCCATGCTGCTGTGATCAACTTCTCAACAAGATAAGTAAGTGTATGAGTAATACAAGTTGATTAATTTTATGTTCTGTTTCCTCTGTGAGGTCCGTTTTCCAATTTTTCCTACCCATACCAGAAATCTGATGCAGTAAAATCTGGTGTCAAAAAACAAACCAGACCACACACACACACACGAGTTCTCATTTTTCAGATGATCCAGGCCTTGTACACACTTAAAGGCATAATTCTAATACAAAACCATTAACGTCAACTGGTTTGTGTTAATCACTTCTCATAACTACAGACAACATTTGGTAAGTACAAGCTTGTTCAGGTAACAGAACAAAACCCAAACTCTGTCAGTTAATTCATTATTCCAAATCATTAAGCAAAGCATGTGTTTAATCTTCATCTCCTTTCTTCAATAATTAATACAGTGTTGAATGACACAGCAGAACCTTTTCATTCTTCGACACTTTGGTCAGTAATTAACTACACATCCAAATGGACAATAAGAAGAATAGTATGACTGTGTTACGTGACATTAAAGTAAATAAAGATTGTATATGTAATGAATGTCTGCAATTACACAAAAAACCCCTGGGTCATTACATGATATAATAATCAGTTATGAATTCAAACCTACTGCCTTGGCATGCAGCTTCCCAGACTATACTTGCCATTGCCAGCAGCAGAGTTTAGGTGTTTAGATGAAGCCAGATAGGCAGAAACCTTGTGTTTCCAAAAAACATGAAGTTTAGCATTTCGAGACTGACTTTTGCTGTCCTTGAATCGCATCCAGACAAAAAGCACGTTCTGCACAAAGGCACGTTTAAACCTGTGCTTCCTATCATTTTTCAAACTGGAAAAAAAAAAATAAAATAAAAATTCTCATTTTGACCACGAGAATCCAGCTCCAAGGAAAAGCAGTGCCACACCTGTTAGCTGAAATTTTCTTAACACTGGGCTCTTACCAAGTTCTACATCCTGATCATCAGTAAGAACAAGGATGATGTTTGGGCGGATGTTTCTACGGTCTCTTTGAAATCTTCCCTTCAGACGCTGATTTAACAGGAAAGCTGAACTTCCATCCAACAGTGATAAAACAGTCATCATGAATAATCCAAGGACAACACTATGCTGGGCCATGTTGTGCTGAGTTAATGTTCTCTCTGAACAAGGTAGGTTTAATGGCTTCTATTTCTTTTTCGTTTGCAGGTCTCCTATAAGGGAGAGGGAAACAAGTTTTTATCTATACTTTGACCCCTCTGCTCCCCCCAAAGGAACAGCAAGGTTCTCTCCAAAGAAGCAAAAAGCAGTATACTTGAAATAATCTAACTCCAAAGGAAAAAAAAAAAAAAAACAAAACCAAACCCACAAACAACAACAAAGCAAACAAATGTTTTCTAGTGCCAGCTAGAAGCAGAAACTTGGAAAAAATCAGTTCATAAGCTGTTACCAGTGCAGGCAACAAAGTTTCACTCTGAGCTCAGATCTGGCAGCAAGTTTTCGCAGGGTATCAAACTCTTTTGCTTTGATACATATAAAGAGCAACCTTCTTCCTTAAGGGATGGTTTCAAATGACATTTTTGTTTACTGCATCAAAAGTTGAAGAGAAAAAAAACTGTGTCTATCAATATTTTTAAACAGGACTGTAGTAAAATTTACTGAGTTAACAAACAACACACTTGCAAAATCAGAGAATCCTCAGATAGAAAACTTGTTATACACTGATTTATCTTACACATTTCATTAGAGAGCAGAGCTGCCCAGATCTTGGAGCTATGGTGTGATGCTGTTTGAAGTCTACTACAGCTTTGATGTTACTGCAATATCCCTTCAGCATTTCTGTTGGTTTCCAAGATTATATATATTTTTTAACACCATTATTATTAATGAACACATTTGAAAGCCCATTACCGTTTGGGAATGGATGTACCACAGTGATTTGCATTGCCTGCGACTTCTCTTCGTGATAAATACAATGCCCCAAAATTGACTCGATTGCAAAGCAGAGCACATCTAACTGGTACTGCTCCTGTTAACAAGTCAATAAAAAATTCTTAGCAATTCCTACAAGGAGATTACAAGAAATGAATAAGCACGCTGAAGAATTTTTGAAATCACAGTTTTGCTTAGCGATCTACTGGTATAAAGGGATTTTCTCTTGCTTTCAGAAGTCAAAACAGTACGAAAATGTACTGAAAATATCAAGTACTAATTATTTCATCACATCCAGCAATCAAGGATTCAGTTTTTGATGAATTCCCTACTTGCTCCTTGGCTTTTCCTGGACTGGTGCCAGTGATCTCTTGTAAGAGAAGTGAAAAATCTATTAAAATTGACACAAGAAAGATAATTTGCTTTTTGTAAAGACCAGAAATGCCTGAGTAGAAAGAACCTAGCACAATGCGTTTCAGCCAAAGAAAAACGTTGGCTCTTTTGTCCCTAGAGCCACGTGGGAAAACAGTTTTTACTCCAGCAGATTATTTCATAGCCACATTATTACTTCATCTCCATCAGCGACTGTTCTTTGAGATAAACTTTGATTAAGAAAGTTCTCATGCAACAGCAAAACCACTGTTCTGAAAAAGTTTCTGTGCTTATATAAGAAATGCACATTCAATTTTCATAGAAGTCAACAGATATGTAGCTATAGTGTGATAGAATATTTATTAAGGCTGCTTTCCAAAACTGTACACTAGTGGGTTTTTTGAGGAAATGAAAAATCCTCCTTCCTTACTTAGTCTGTCCAGTGAGTTTCACAGGGAGGTGAAATTACCTTTTTTCACAGAAACTAAAAATTGATTTTGAATATCCCAGCTCTTGTTCCAACAGGTAGGGAAAGAACTTTCAAAGTTTCCAGCTACAGCTTTAGTATTTCCGCTGCTGCCCAGAGATTTGCCAGGTTATTGCAGCAGAAACACTGACAAGTCCAATCAATTTTCACTCCTGGCACTCAGAATTCCATCTGCAGCACTACAACTGGGAAGGATCGTGTCAATGTGCTGCTACTGTCCAGAGTAGTCAAAAGCAGCTTGAGAGAGAAACTTGGACCTGTTTCAAAAGGGAAGGACAGAAAGCAAGCTTGTTTAGCAGGCACATATTCCTGGACACCAGCTTTTTGGGGGAGGAGGCAGAGAAACGGCTTCTGCTCTTCAGAAATTACTACATATACACTTTGGTTAAAAAAATTAAACTGACAATGGAGATGTTTTCATTACACACATTTTTCTGAAGGTCTAAAAGTTAAGGTGGGGTTTTATCTGCCTATTACTAGCCACTAGCTTCTCAAAATAACAGCATTTACTGACTTTTCTTGCAGCATTTGGAAGGCTGCCCGTTTTTGTTATACCTGCTCACAACCACCTTCACTACAGCGTTGTGCATTTAACCATCTTCTTGCATTTTTCTCACTTCTTTTAACCCAATGCACAAAGTAACCTCACGACCTCATTGCCTCTTTCCCCTCAGCCTATCTTTTCCTCACAGTTTATTGCCCCTCACTCACTCACTCCACTGTAACTAAAAACAGAAGCTGACCCATCTCAGAGAGCTGCTCGGCTCTCTATAAAATACTTAACACATTTGGGGATGTACTCAAACTGCTATTCCACAGCTATTTTATCCCCACTTGTATATTTATGGTTAATTAGTTATCTCTGAAAGGTTACTGCAGGTGGAAGAGAGAATTTTCATGTCAAGCACAACAGGCATCTTCCCCCAAACCTGTTATCTTTCTCTTGCCCCCTCCCTCCCACCACCTTGATGAATATTTTTCAGCTATTCTGATGTGTTATGTTCCTATTATTATCAGGGTAAGTACTGCTGGGAACCAATTCAAAGTATGTACTTATGTGCAAAACTCATACCAATAACTAGGTAAGAAAATTAAAGCAATTTTAGAAAATAACCTATTTCTTAAAGTATGTTTTCATAAAAGACAGACATGTCACAACTAACAGCATATATGCAGTACAATCTAAAAGGCAGCTTTTATACAGCTCTCAGAACAGCAACAGAAGAGTCCCTCTCATGAATTGCCAGTGGTCAAATACAGATTGGTTTTTTTAACCCCTGGTCTTTGGTGAACTTCAGGGAAGAAATATGACAAAGTTTCTATTAACAGTTCTTTTCCCATTTCTGTCAACAAGTTTAATCTGCTTCTCACAGATAAAGCCAGAAGAGCTCCACAGCAGTGCCCCAATCTGCCTTCACTTTTAATATAGCACCTCTCCAACGATGCATTTTGATCTGAGTGGTACAGATGGTCCACTGCTTTCTGTGCCTCTGCAGGCCATCCTCCAATATTAAAGATGCTTAATCTGTAGTGCCTCTCATGAGAATTAGCTATTCCTCTTATTTTTTCCTAGATTACACATATGAACTTGACAAGTCTGGTCACTCCTGGTTTATATTTAGGAAAGTGCTATCAGAAATTTATGAAATGTTCTTTAGCTGTGGCATCTAGCTTTATTAAGCCTATGAAACCTCCTAGCAGGCTGCTTTAGAGAAAGTCTGGTCCTCTTATCAATTCTAATGTGACACTAAGTCACATTACAAATGCTGAAGAGATAAAGCCAGACTTCAGTACATTTACTCTATTTATAAAAGAACTTAGCTGAGGGCTGTTCCCAAGTAGCATTTTACACCAAGGAAAGGCTTATTTATAACACTGCCCTCAGTAACTCATGTCAGTTCTACAGCAGCACAGGCAGAATGCACAGGGATGACTGATGACAGTTCCACCCCAGATGGTATTTTTAACGTGGTATTGATTAGTATTGCTTGGCACAGATGTAACAGGCACTGTGTGTGCAAAATTAGTAACTGACAGTGGCTTGCACAGATTGGTGCTCCCAACTTCACTAATGCAAGTCCCAGCACAACTGTCCCGTGCATAAACCCAGTGCAACTTCACTGAAATCAGGGAGTTCAGTTACTACAACATAACCCACAGCAGCATCTGACTCTTCCTATAAACAGAAAAGGTGCAAACACGTAACTGATTAATTCTGTAACTTCAGTTAATCCTGCTCTGAGTCTACTTCTAGGAAGCTGCTTCTAGTTACGCTTACATTAAGTGGTTTTGGGTTTTTTTAAATAAGCATGCTGCAAACCATTACCCACACAATTGGCATGACAAGTTCAACTCGCCCAGCAGCCACCACAGAGCAGGGTAAGGGCCCGTGAGCCACACACTGGAAGGGCACAGTAGGGGCCAAGTGGCCTCGAGAAGCAGCACAGACCTGCTCTCAGTGTGGCTGGAACCAATGCCAGGTGTATTATTTAAGCAGACCTAGGTGTGTCATTTGTCCAAGGTTTAAATTCATTGGAATACGTGGTGCTGGAGCCATTCCCTAGCAACCAACCCAATTAAAACCACTCTGCCAGTTAAATGGATTCAGCTGTGCTGGCTGTTCTTTTAACTCCTCAGTCACTCCTATGCATCCAGCTCTGGTTATGATGCTCATTCCTCTCGCACTGAAGCCGTCAAACATCGTTTCAAATCATCACATTGCGTTTGTAAGAGACAAAACACATTTTTATATGTGGATTGGGAAGAACCTTGTTTGCAATCACACAAGGTTCTCGGGGGAAGGCTGGTATCAACACTACTGCTGTAATCTAACAACATGCTGTGTTTGCTTATAGTTTTCTACTTTCTGAATTTTTTTCCCCCAGGTAGTCAAAAATTTAAGAGAAAGTACAAAAATCAAATTCCCAGTGCTAAATGTGACTGTTGAAAATTGCAGTTGTGCCGATTTACCTACAAAAACTATGAATAAAGCATTTTTATTGGCAAGCATCTACAATTTTTTTTAGAAGTCAGGAACAGAGCTTCCAGACTTACTGGTGCACTGAATTACTATTCAGACACATTCTTCTGTTTCACTTGCCTTATGCTGGTGAACTCTATACCAAAACTAAATATTTATCACAGAGAAGCCTTACTCACATTACAAAATCTCATTCCTATTTTGTAACTTTATTTTAAATAAAACAGAATTATAAATCAGTTATAATTTTCCCTAGGACTTGATATTTTAAGAAGTGTTTTAAGCAGTTCAATATACTTTGCATGAATCCATACTATTCTTTCTGTTCACTGCTTGCATGTTACTATTAGAGCTTCCCGGTGACACACACAGAATTAATTAGTCCTTTGCTAGGTTAAATTGCTATTTGGATCCCCTAAATCCACAATAATAAACATGCTGTT